GCAAATGTCATGTATTAGGAGAAGCCACTTGGCGTTGAAAAATGTACATGCAATTTGAAAATTCAACTAACACAAACCTTGACTTGGACACACTATTAAACTACTTCAAATTTAATAGGACATGAGAAACGTTTTTACAAGATACAAACGTTCTCAAAAAAAATTAGTTTCAAAGTTCTTTTCAATACACCATCGCTTCTGCATGAGTCATGGCTTCTGTTATGCATGAGTTCTATCCACAAGCTTTCACTTGTGCATGAGTCATGAGTTCTGTAATCCAATCAACAAGCTACTGATGACTAGTAGACTTAAATATCTAATTTTAGTATTTTTGGAATAGTTTAAAACTTTATTTTTAACCTTTGAAATTATAAATTTTAAAATTTTGGAAGTCACCTTTCACAAAATGGGATATGGGAGGACATTAATTTTTTTATTTATTCTTTCTTGATCAAGTGCATACTGCTGAGAGTCTATCAACAACAACCTTCCTCCTCCTCTGGTAAAATGTTATTTATCTGCATTTCTAAAATTCTGTAACATTTCTTTCAAATGTTGTCTTACAAAAGGTTGGCCGGTTAGGTATGGCGCTATGGATTATTATTATTATTATTATTTAAGAGGTTAATATTCTTAAAAACATGATTCTTCTCGTGATTGTCCAAAATATTTTGTGAATGTCCAAAATAATTATTTAATTTATTATTTATAAAAATTTGGAGGATTAAAACAATATGCCAAAACTAAGATTTTCTCTTTTGGTAAAAATGTCAGTAGATAAATTCTAAGAAAGATCACCTTCGACTAAAAACCAAAAAATAAAAGTAAAACAATGCTTACAATTAACTGTAACAATTACAGAACTTAATGATACTGAAGCACTCGAATCACTTGATCTCAAATCATAATCAGATCATTTTCATCATACGCACAAATAAATCATCCTCAATTCTCTAACTGCTAATATTTTTTAAAAAGTTTCAATTTTGGATCCAATATTCACTTCTTAACAAGAATGTACATAAAAATATTCAATTGCAAAATAAAGAGTTTGCAGTTTAATAGTATAATCTATTTTTATCAAATACAAAAGTTGAGAGTTAGGTACTATCCTTAAGTCTCCTGTTCAAGACCCTAAATAAGCCAAGTCAAATGACACCGAAAAGACTAGTAAATAAGTTGATGAGCCTTGAATTTGGTAATAAATTTTTTTATGTACATACTATTCCCAAATGCTTCATTGATATTAGATAAGATGAAATATTCACCCTTTGTCTTATAACAGAGAAGATAATATGAAAGTGCAAAGTGAGTGGGAACAACCGTCAAAGAGAGAGAAGTACTTATTACTAATCTTATTAGGGGTGCAATTTGGGTTGGGCAATCTGGAACTACTCTAGCCTAGCTCGATTTTTTACAAGATTTATTTTTATAAGTAGAGTTACCCGAATTTTATTAGGGTTGGGCTTTAGTTGAGGCGCTAGCAACCCGAACCCGAATTCTAATATTATTTTTATATACATTTTTAATTTTTTTCTCTGAATATACATTTTTAATTTTAATTACATTATATATAATATTGTATGTTAACATTTAAGAAAATAAATTTTCTAAGAATTTATTTATAATTTATTAAAAATTTACAAAAAAAAATTAAATTATTTTTTGTTTAAGAGTAATTTAATCTACAACTAATTCAGGATCATACTAAATTTTCAATGTGAAGATTAGTCATATGAGTAACTCGAAATTTAAGCCCGGGTTGCAAGCCCAAATTTAAAAGTAAGTATAATGGGCTAGATTCGGGTTGAGTAATTAGAGTTGAAGATAGAATTACCCGTCCAACTTGCCTGAGTTGCAACCCTAAACCTTACAAATCCAAACTATTATATAGAGCCATCAATGTCGTACCAGTATTTTTTTTTGGAGAGGAGTGGAAAGTCAAAAGTCATTTTCCTATCTCTCCAATACAAAGTAGAGGTGTTTAAACTTGTATGAGAGAAGAAACTGAAATTTTTAAGTGAATATTGTAGAAGAGGTTTAAGAAAACTTTGGAAAAATCACAATCACAATGGGACACTATTCCAATAATTTTGTTAATATTTTGAATTGTTTGATTGAGATAACGTAAATTCTATAGGTCACTTGGGTTGTGATACCTTATGACCCGTCTGATCTAAAGTTTGACTTCTCTTTTTAGCAAATAAGTTTTTAATTAAAAAAAAAAAAAAAAAAAAAGGAAAGAATGTAAAATGCATTAATTCAATACTTTTATCATTAGAAGTTGAAACGTTTTGCTTTTAAAAGCACCCCAACATCAATCTAGCTGCTTCCACTAAAATCTTTCCAAAAGACCTTTTTTTATTTTTTTTTTCATGAAACAAATATATACTTAATTTTAAGAAAAAAAACCTATGTCCTTGAAGGGCCACAAATAGGCTGAAGGAGGTGCAAGACAACAAAACAAACTGATATTATTTTTTTTCATTAAATAAACTGACTTCATTGATAACAATGTGCGGAGACTTGCGCAATTTAGATGCACACACTCACAGTTTCTCACCCATTTATTAAATTACAACAATAAAGCCAAACACTTGCTAACGCACACATATCATGTTGAGCTTGTTGAGCTTCACCACCACATCTTTCATGTCACTTCTCTCCTCCGGTAATTCTGAAGAACACTGCATCCCTAATTCCATGATGGCTAGAAGACAATTTTGTAGGTCATTCACTGGTTCTCTCCCATCTCGTGTCCCGAACAGGTAACTATCCACAACTTCCATTGCCTTGTTCGGAAGTGATGCATTCACCTATTGCCTCAAACTCAATTCTCCAACGAACATGTCATCTGTCGGCTTCTTTTTCGTAAACATCTCTAACAACATTATTCCGTAACAATAAACATCACATTTTGTAGACACTCTTCCTTCAGAACCATACTCTGTCAAACAATTCAAAAGTTTCAAGAAGCACAATGAAAATAAATTTCATAGTTCACTTTGATGAACTTGGACTAGTCTATGAAAGTTATGCATGTTTTAGAAGATATATATATATATATATATATATATATATATATGTATAAAATAAAGAAAGAAAGAACACAAATCAAATAGTGAGCTAAGCTGGACTCTATTGTGTTGCATTTCATTTTCAATCCTAGCATATGAGTCACACAACTAAGCATTTAAAATACCAGCCCGAGCATACAATAAAGTGAAGTGTTTATTATGTTTAAACAACACAAGAAATATGTTATTCAATTAGAAGCCCTACCGACCATTAATGTGTTGGTCCTAGAACTGAAAGCCTCATCGAGAACACGTTTGAAATTGGGAAGATGAGAAGTCCGACTCACAACAAGACATAAGTTTCACCACTGTTAGAAATGTAACAATAATTTTAGAAAATGAAGAGGGCAGAATGAGAAGATTTACCTGGTGCAATGTAGCCGAGTGTACCTAAAATCTTGGTTTGTGCTGCAGTCTTGTCAACTAAAACTTTTGCAATTCCAAAGTCTCCCACATGAGCAACCATTTCTTCATCTAAAAGAACATTGTTGGGCTTCAAATCACAATGGACCACAGGCTCCGGTTGACAATCATGGAGACATTCCAAAGCTAACGCAACATCATACATGACGCTCACTCTTTGAAGGAAATTTAGGCAATAGTTCTCAGAATATAACCACTTCTCAGACTTCCGTTAGACATGTACTGCAGAACCAAAGCTCTTAACTCGGGATTGGAGCATGTACTTATGACCTTTACTAAATTCTGATGGCGTACATTTCGCAGCACTTCACATTGTGCATCAAAGCTTTTAAAAACTGTGTCAAGTTCCAAATTCAATATTTTTACAGCGATGATTGTCCCATCTAAAAGAACTTCTTTGTATACAGAACTGTAGCCTCCTGATCCAAGCAAGTTGGCATCACAAAAATTATTTGTGGATTGGCGAAGCTCCATTTATGATATCATTCTATGCTCCATAATAGCTATCGAGTCAACTGAATCTGAACTCCGTGCTTTATTTCCTCGGCATTGTGTCATCATATAAATCAAAGCAACAAAGATTACTACTGATGCAACTACTGGAATAATATATTTGAGAAAAACTTGTTTAGTCCTTGTACTCTGCGTATTGTCCATTTTGCAACCTGAAACTTGCAGAATTGGGGGCCCACAGAGATCGTCATTTCCCATAAAAGATTGAGCAGTAAAGTTAACAGAAGTACCCCCATTTGGAATCTCTCCAGAGAGCTTATTGAAAGAGAGATTCAAATATTTGAGATGTGAAAGTTCTTCTAAGGACTTAGGGCTGGTACCTGATAAATTGTTGTGAGAGAGATCCATGAATTCCAATGAAATCAAGTCACCAAATGATTCCGGAATTGTGCCCTATAACAAGTTCCTCGACAAATTGAGGGAGCTAAGACTTTGAGGGGATCCAATAGCTTGAGAAATGATTCCTTCTATACTGTTTTGAGATAAATCCACAATGTCAATGACATTTGATATTCTCATTTGTGATGGAAATTAACCACTTAAGGAATTAACTGACAAATCCAAGAGCAACAGATTTTCAAGGGCCCATAAACTTGCCCGAATGGAAGAAGAAAGATTGTTATTGCTTAAGACTAAGCTTTGTAACTGACTAAGATTCCATATGCAAGTTGGGATTGGTCCAAAGAGGTTATTATTTTGAAGAGACAACTCCCCCAAATGCCAAAGATGGCAAATCTCATTGGGAATAAGTCCTTCAATCTTGTTACCATCGAGATACAACCTTTGTAAGCTCTCTAATCCTCCCATTGTTGATGGGATGGATCCATTCATGTTGTTGTCACTCAATCTAAGGAGCTTCAGGTTTTTCTATGAACCTATTACTCTTGGAATCGGACCCTTTATTTGACATGTAGAGGCAACAAAAGTTTGAAGCGAACTTGAAAATTTTCCAATTGAATTTGGTAAGATACCTTCACTGGGATTGCTCTAGAAGACCAACTTTTCCAAAGATTTGCAGTTTGTCAGAGCAGTGAGAAAGGTAATTTCCCCATTTCTATTTTCTCCCGTGAGACGATTTTTTTGCACATTGAGTGATCCAAGGAGATGCAAGTTGCCTAAGCTAGGAGGTATTGGTCCAGTAAATAAGTCGTAAGCCAGCGACAGTCTTGTGAGCTTAGAAGAGTTAGATAGATACAAGGGTATGTTTCCACCCAACTGATTGTCTTCTAGATTTAATTCTTCAAGATTAGGAAGCCACAAACCAATAGTTGATGGCAGATTTCTATCAAGAGTAGTGGAAGGCAGGTCAAGGAATTGCAGAGCAGACATGTTAAACATTTGCTCCGGAAAAGTACCAGTGAGATTATTTGTATGTAAGTTCAGTACCCTTAAATTCGAAAGTTGTGAGATCTCCCCAGGAATCTCTCCTTGAAGGTGATTATTTCCAATCTCAAGCCCAAGTAAACTTGAAATATTACCAAGGGAAGGGGGAATTGTACCGGTTAAGTTGTTCCTACCAAGATAAAAAAATCTCTAGTGTTTGTAGATTCCCAATGTCTCTTGGTATTCTTCCCTCGAACCTATTGTACGAAAGAGACAATATTCTGAGCTCTCTACAATGAGATATCGTCGTATCGAGGTTGGAATTTGGCCACTGAAATGGTTGAAAGAAAGATAAAGTCCTTCAAGTTGAGGACAAAGTAGGCAAATGTCCATTGGAAGACTACCAGAGATGCTATTATTCGTGAGAGAAATGGTATGTAAAGAAGAGATGTTAAAGATAGTCTGACGAAATGAACCTGTCAATGCATTGTATTCAAGTGCCAAGACCTCCAATGTTGAGATGTTGGCTAGAGAAGATGGGATAGTACCCATGAAATCATTGCCCGTGAGACCAAGAAAATAGAGGTTGGACAATGTACCCAACTCTTCCTGTATGACTCCATTGAATCTGTTGTTCAAAAGCCCCAGGACTTCAAGCTTTTGGCATTGGTTTAATGTTTTGGGCAATTTTCCTTCCATCTTGTTCTCATCTAAAATGCGATCTTTCAGACGACCCAAACGTCCAATCTCATGTGTTAAAGTGCCATGGAAACTGTTGTTTGAAAGATCTAGAGTCACGAGAAAGGAGAGATTGGCAACAGAAGGAGAGATGGTTCCTTGTAGTCCCATGCGAGGAAGCTCCAAAGCTGTGACTCTTTGTCTGCGTGTACTGCAGGTCACACCAAGCCAGCTGCAGAAGTTGTTAGTTCTGCTCCAATTACTACCCAATACGTTGTTTGGATCAGGCTTGATCTCATTCTTGAAGCCGAGGAGAGCCAATTGATCTGTGAAGTTTGAGAGAGGAAGTGCCAAACAAAGTATGCATGACTGCACTACCAGCACTCCTAATAAAATCTGCAAGTAAACGTATACGCTCTCCATTAGAATCACAATGTATATATATTCTCATGAAACAAAAGGAAAATGTTTTTAAAACCGGGGAGGAGAACACTTGACGTATCTTGCCCAATCAACAGTTTCAATCAAGGAATTTTGTTCAACTCCTCGAAACAAAATGCACTATAAACTGATGCAGCATTATATCAAGGCAATACATAGACATATTCAAATCTCAAGTGGTAGGTTGTTTAATATTATATGGTTCATGAAGATTAATCTTGACTTACAATGGAGAGGCACCAAAAGTCTGCCAATAACAAATGCACTATGCATGATACATTAAAACCATTAAATGGATGGTTGACTGGTGACAATTGCAATTGCAAGGTATATATTGTTAGTTTATTAGTTAAATTGAATTCATTTGTTGAGTCAAAAATTCCTTTTGAATTGTTCATTAGAATATAATAATTATACATGTTCAGATATAGATATACATGCATGATGTATTAAAATGATTAAATGGATGGTTGACTTCATGAAACAACCATGATATAAATGAACTTTATTGGTTTTCAACACACAGATTGGTGGAGGTTTGTTGGCATATTGCATTGAATTTTAAGTTGATTGAGGGAGAAATTGTTAGATGGTCAGGGAATGTCAACTACTAGCTGACACCCAAGTATAAATAAATAAACATTGAATAAAGCTCATAAATTTACTTACGTTTTAACTAGTGACACAATCTCAAAAATTTTCAGCCTGAATTTTTAATTTTAACACTGAAGTTAAAAAATGTGGAAAACAGAGAATGCAAAAAAGCATCAGTTAAAACATAGAAAGGGAAGAACAAACAAGCATTTGTTAGCACTTTTAAGTCATGTTGGTCAAACAAAAACGCGCCTGATTAAATAATAGTAGCATCAGTAATGTTTTTTTTTATATCTTAGAAGTTACAATAAATATACATACACACACACACACATATATATATATATCAGGGATAAATGTGTCCCATGCAAGCAAGAAGATCTATACTTTCCTTTTCTGGAAGCACATTGTGAAGTCAAAGGATAGGATGCTGAGTAAGGGCCGACATGATCCCCCATACAATGGAAATCTACAATAAACAAAAAAAAAATTAAATCAAATCACAAGGCAGATACTAGGGGTGCAACTTGGGGAAAAAAAATTACTTTATGATCGAGAAATGAAACCAATACAAAGATGGTGACATTAAAATATATATATATATATATATATATATATTTGAGTTAATTGTCCACCCCTCCCCTAATTTTTCTTGGAGAAGTAAAGATTTCGCAAGCGCAATCTTTTGACAGAACAATGGTGTTAAAATTCTAATTCCGGTTAAGCTTGTTGCAAGTCCAACTCTAATTGTAAAAATGATAAGTCAGATTTGTATCAGAATTGGGTTGGGCTCGAGCTAGGTTCAAAATATTGGCCCGCCCAAGTTGCATCCTAAGTTTTAGTTTCAAAAAAATTGATGTGAGCCTTGGTCTATAGGGAAGGGATTGAAGTCAAAAACTTCATCTTTTTATTTTTTCATTTTCAAAGTGTAGTTCTTAATCAACTCTCCATCCCAATGAGCCTTGGTTGCAAACTTGGAACTATGGTTACTAGAGCAAGAAAATCGAAAATCACCGAATTTTCATTTGAAGTTCTATGCTGTTCATTGTGGACTGCTTATCTCAACGAAAGTTACCTTCAAATGCCCCAAACAACCGTCGTATTCTAGGTTTGGATGCATCTCTTCTCGCTCTAGTACCATATAATCAATCATTACTCATAATCACAATAATCTATATCCTAACAGTTTACATACCCTAGCAAAGAAGTTCTTGCCCCTTTTATTACAAAATCTTTGCCACCCTCTCTTGTTCCTGAACTTGCATCCATACCATCATTTGATGAGATCCAAAATTGCTTCTTCTCCCTTGACTCAAACAAATCCCCAAGTCCTGATGGTTACAACTCTTTTTTTTCTTCAAAAAAGCAGGGATGTCTTAAGAGCAGCAGAGAGTTTTTTTCCTAATGGAAAACTGTTAAACGAAGTCAATGCCTCCTATATTGCACTGGTTCCCAAGGTGCCTAACCCTAACTCTATGAGTGATTACAGACCTATTTCCTTCTGCAACACAATCTACAAATGTATTTCCAAACTTGTTGCAAATAAACTTAAACTGGCTCTACTTCACCTTGTAAGTCCATCCCAGTCAGCTTTTGTACTAGGGAGAAACATTGGTGTGATAACATCTTACTAGCCCAAGAGCTGCTCCATAGGTATCACTCACACTCTGTTCCCCCCAAGTGTGCTCTCAAGGTTGACACAAAGAAAGCATTTGATTCAGTTTGTTGGGAGTTCCTTGTTGACTCTCTGGAACTGTTTGGTCTGCCTCTCAACTTTATAGCTTGGATCAAGGAATGTATTTCTTACCCTTCCTACTTCATCTCTATCAAAGGGGAGCCACATGGATTCTTTAGGGGAGCCCATGGCCTTAGTCAAGGAGACCCTCTGTCTCCCTCTCCTTTTGTGCTGGCTTTGGAATTTTTTTCCCTTATTTCTCATCATTTTATCACCATTAACCCCTCCTTTCAGTACCACTGAAACAGTAAGGACCTCAAAATTAACAACCTAAACGGTAAGGACCTCAAAATTAACAACCTATGCTTTGCTGATTTCTTATTGTTACTCTCTTATGGTTATGTGCTATCCGTCAAGGTTCTCAAGCAGGCTCTAGACACATTTTATTCCCTCTCGGGTCTCACAATTGAAAATAATGAGAATAATGTTAAATAGTCCGACTTTTTATTTATGTGAGTGAGGGATGACATCATCATGACATCATTAAATATGATGATGTCTCCCGCTCACATAAATGTAGAGAAATGATAGAGAGTCTGACAGTCAAACACATCCAAGTAAATTTATGTGAGCGACTGATAGGGAGTCCGATTGATTTATATGAGTGAGGGATGACATCATCATGACGTCATTAAATATGATGATGTCCCCCGCTCACGTACATGTAGAGTAATAATAGGGAGTTCGACAATCAAACACATCCGACTTATTTATGTGAGTGAGCGATGACATCATCATGACGTCATTAAATATGATGATGTCCCCCGCTAACATAAATTTAGTCGGATGTGTCCAACTATCGGACTCCCTATCATTACTCTACAATTAATCATGCTAAGAGTTCTGTGTTCTTCTCTGGGATCAATCCATCCACTGAATCTCAGATCCTCTCCTTGGTGGGATTCTCTAGAGGATCACAGCCTATTACTCACTTGGGGGTCCCTCTCATCACTAAGGGGCTTAAAGCCAGTGACTGCCAGGTGCTTGTGGATAGAATCTCTTTTCCAGAATCAACCACTGGACCTCTGATTCTCTCGCTTATGCTGCCAGATTTCAACTGATCAGATCTACTCTCCTTGGCATGCTCTCTTACTGGATTGGTCTTTTCATCCTCCCTAAAAAGACTGCGAATGACATCAACAAAATTATTGTGGCTTCTTATGGTCAGGTACTGATCTTAACTCTCATAAAGCAAAAATCTGTTGGAAAAGTGTTTGTGTGCCTAAATCAGATGGAGATTTGGATTTACCCAACATTGAGCTCAGAAACAAGACTGCCATGGAAGATGTACAACAATAGAGAGCACAGTCTCTGGGTTGAATGGGTGCACTGCTACCTATTGAAGGGTAAATGTTTAACATACCTCCTCAGTAGGCTTCATGGACCTGGAGGAAGCTTTTGCAGTTGAGACCCCTTTGTTTGGCCTTTCATCAAACACCATGTGTGCAATGGGAAATCCACATTTCTTCTGGCTTGACAACTGTATGAACTTGTGCCCAATTGATGCTAGAGTTAGCTCCCTTTCTACACACATCTTCACCGCAGGCAGTACGCATGCAACAATTTATGTACCAAATTATTCTCGTGGGTTCGAATTGCCAGTTAGTTTTCTTGTGGGTATTAATGTTAACTTCCTTTGTTTGGTCACTTTTAATATATATACACACACACGCACACATTCCTGTTCAGTATTAGTTGTTTCTGATTTTTAATACTCCAAAACCTCCTGAGTCTTTTAAATAAAGTTAAACACATTATAATAAGGGAATATTAATAATAAAAAAACTAAACAAATAATTCCACTAAAATCGTGGAATCCTTCTATTAGGATTAGCTTGGTTAGCGTCAACTAAATAGAAAGGAAAAGAAACGAAAAATTTTAAAATTATTTGATAGTTTGGTTAGCGTGAAAGGAAAAATTTTCAGGTAATATTCCTGCAATTAGTTGTTTTTCTTAAAATGTTTCCAGGAAAGTAATATTCCTGCAATTAGTTGTTTTTCTTAAAATGTTTCCTCTATAAAACACGCTAAAATTTCAATTTCGCGTAAAAGTTGTATCATCATGTGTTCATTTTCAATTATACTCTCCGTAATTATTTCTCTTCCTTCCTTTTAGACTCACAAAAGGAGTGACTTCTTTTTGATAAATTATGACTCCTACTTATATTACAACTGTCTAACTCTTTAAATTAGGACTCCTAATTAAATTACAATTTTCTGACTTTTTAAATTAGGACTATATATATATATGCACGCACATATATTTATATTCATAAAACAATTATTTATATTTTTTATTATCCTTGTTGTATGATGTATTTTACTTAGTATTGAATTCATGAGGGTAATTTTGGTATGTAAATCATTCTCTTTTCACTTTCATGCTAACCAAACTAATGAAACAACATTTTCCTACAAATTTTTTACAAAAAAATCATGCTAACGAAATGCATGATAGAAACATAATTTTATTTTCTTTTATTTCACTTTCTTTTCCTTTCACTTTCTATCATCAATTTTCGGCTAACCAAACGAACGCTTACGGAAAAAGAAAAAAATTCTCTTCGTACAAAATTTTTTACAGAAAACTTACATTTTTTTTTTCCAACTCTTTTCTCTATATTCATGTTCTGGTAAAAAAAATTCTCTTCAAACAATGCAAGTTTTGTTATTATATACTCGGGTAAATTTCTCTCTCACTGAACATACTCCTTTCTCGATGCATGACTCTGAATAGCTTCACATGGGAGACATTTTTTTTAGTTTGTATCCTTGTGTAATCAATTTGTTTCACCAATTGTTGAGCGTTTTTTTTTCCCTATCTAATATTAAAAATGAGAGAAGATAAAAAAAATTTGGGAGTTATCATCACAACTGATGGTATAAAATAATTCTTAGATTTTTTTTTTTTTCCGTAATACAAAGACTCCACTACTCTCTTCTATATTTAAACGATGTTAATAGAATTATTTGTTTAATTTTTTTATATTAATACCCCCTTATTATAAGGTGTTTAATTTTATTTAAAACACTCAAATTGAGTGGTTTTGGAGTCTTAAAAAACCACAAACAACTATATTTGTTTCTTATTTTTTAAGACTCCAAAACTTAAGTGTTTTAAACACCTTATAATAAGGATGTATTAATAATGAAAAAATTAAACAAATAATTCCATTAAAATCGTGGAGTCCTTCTATTACGGGGAAAAAAGAAAAAAAATTCTCTTCGTACAAAATTTTTGACAGAAAACTTACATTTTTTTTTTTTTTTTCTAGCTGTTTTCTCTGTATTCATGTTCTGGTGAAAATTTTTTTCTTCAAACGGTGCAAATTTTGTTATTGCATACTTGGGTAAATTTCTCGCAGAGCTTAGTATCTCACTCACCATACTCCTTTCTCGATGCATAACTATGAATAGCTTCACGTGGGAGACATTTTTTTAGTTCGTATACTCATGTAATCAATTTGTTTTCTCTAATCATTGAGGTTTTTTTTTTCCTAGCTAATATTAAAAATGACAGAAGATATATAAATAATAAATAAATAAATAAATAAAAATTGGCAGTTATCATCACAACTGATGGTATAAAATAATTGTTAGATTTTTTTTTTCGTAATAAAAAGGCTCCACTACTCTCACTCTTTTATATCCAAACGATGTTAGTGGAATTATTTGTTTCATTTTTTCATTATTAATACCTCTTTATTATAACATTGAGTGGTTTTGGAGTCTTAAAAAACCAGAAACAACTAATATAATTGTTTTCAATTTCAGTCATTGGATGAAATCAAACAACTAAAATTGAAGTAGCGTATATTACTCCCTGCACACTGAAGAGCAACTGAACGGGACTATATATATATATATATATATATATATGCATGCATCATATGAAAATTTTCTATATAACAGTGATTTGCTTGCTGCCAATAAAACAGAGGAAGAGTTAAAACAAACAATTCTTAGCTGTTTCCAATTCAAATGTTATCTAATATGAAACACTATTACGATAAAGCAGTAGAATAATTGTAATGTATTAATATAATCATAAGTAAAACATTAAATGGCATTTGTTTATTTAAAATAAAAACACTATTATGATAAAATAGTAAAATAATTGTGTGTGTGTGTGTATATATATATGATATAAAAGTCATTACAACTCTTAGTACCATAAAAATTATAAATGAATTAGGTTTTACAATACTATTATTCAATAGATGTATATAAATAAAAATTCATATTTATAGTTGTGTCCAATTCGTACCATGTGTCCTACTTTTTTTAAATTTGACTTGTTGACGTATTCGTGTCATGTCGTATCCGTATCCTGTGTCCATGCTACATAACTTTCAAGTGACTTAAATAAATTTAAAAGAGTTATTAGTTCCAAGGTTTCAACTCAAGTGCACTTGTCTAATTTTGATTATAACAAACCATTTTAGTGGTTACAATTTTTATTTTTATTTTTATTTTTTTAGCATTGAAAGCATGGGCGAAAATAAATTAAACCAAGTCCACTATGATCATTTTCTATTATCGTTATTATCTCGGAATCATTTTCCATAATAATTTAGTTTCACAAATAATCTCATTCACACCTTTGTGGGTCCTGTAAAACCCAACTAAATAAAATATTGGATCAAAAATTATAGATGATCCGTGATATAAGACATAGAAGCAAGGTTCAAGTTCAAGGGAACTTTTAAAAATAATTAACAAAAATAATTAACAGTTACATATCGAAGGATGATTAATTTGTGCGTATGACAAAAATGATCTATCAAGTGCTTCACAATCATCAACCCAAAGGGCCACAGCTAACCCATTTGAACGAACTTGTATTCCGGTGGGCCGGAAAACTAAATAAACATGAGCTGGGTCATAAACTCCCACCATGTCTTGGGCCCACTATCAAATCCACTGGACTATTATTGATTGTCCAAAGGATTGGCCCATGGTTGCTTCGGTGGGCTCTATTTAAAACCCAACGGAATCTCTTATTTTGTCCTTTAGTTGTCAAGCCCACCGTAATGCAAGTTCGTTCTTCCCTTCAGAAACCCAGGTCAAATTTGCACTGTAGAATTAGAATAGGAGATATTTTAGTTCAGATTTTTAATTAAATTTTTAATTGATTTTTTTTAATTAAAATTATAAGCCACTAATTTGGTCTTCCGTTGTCTAAAGCCAGGAACTACTTATCGCGGTGTCAAAAAACTAAGAAATTTTTTTATTGAATACTGAAAATGTTGGTTATGGTTTGTTTTGCTAGTGCTAACTCTATATAGATGGGATGGTTCTCCAAGATTATGAAACATTGAGACCCATGCTAACTCTTTATGCATACATATATATATACATATGTGTTTTATATATATATATATATATATAAGTCTACTCTCGTCATTCCGTTTTCAGTAACCACTATCTGTGTTTTTTGTGCTTCAGTTTGAAATTTACATGAAAAATACATATACAAGAAGACAAAATTGAAATTCTCTTAAGCTCATCATGCAACATGTCACAGTTTCGTCAGGTATATATCTGTTTTAGCCTTGTTTTGTAAAGTGGAATGGCATTTGGATGCAAATGTGCTCAATGTCTACATGAACATGCTTCTTCAACGGGCGCAGCTTGATTTCATACAGCTTTGGCCATAGTTTTCCGGTCACTGCACACAAAATGTTACACCATACGTTTTTTAGATGGTGAAAACTCTCTAGGTAACTAGTGAAAAAGGCCAGAAATCAATTTCATCAATTTCCTAATATAGCTATAACATAATAAATAAAATAAATTAAGCTAAGAAAGATCCTTGGCCCGTGCACCGGACTTTTTGTTTTCCTTGAAGAGCAACTGAGGATGTGGATATACTTCTACAAGTTACCAAGAGGAGGTCAATGAAACATAAAGGAGCAATCCCGGTCCAAGAGGCTTCCGCCTTTGTAGATGTAAGCAGGACAGATGTACGCAAACTTACCTCAAAGGCTGAGGTCGATAAAACATGATTTTACCAAATAATATTCTATACTATTGCGTGATTTTTTGCCGGGGGAGTTGGTCACTAGACATTGATACTATTGTACTTGAACAATCGAATTTCTAACAAAGAATCTTTTTTCTTTAAAAATAAAAAATAAATTAAATAAATAAATATGGGTAGGTATCTCACTAAGACACCCATATAACCCCATTGGGGTTTCAAACCCTCAACCAGGAAGAGATGCCACTTGGGAAAGTCCTAGATGAATATTACTTATTTCAATTACTTATCAAATATATATATATATATATATTACTTTTGGCATTCTAGTATACTCTTCTCAAGTATATGCTATCTGCATATTCAGGTCTCATGCAAAATAATAAAATGACAGAAATTATGGAAAAGACACAAAATCTGGAGCTTACCAAATAGGCGGTTTTTGTCTTCATCCCATGCTATGCCATTCAAAACATCAATATCCTGGGAGATGGTAAAATTTCCGTATAAACCAATCAAAAAGTTAGATCAAATTATTTAATCAATCGCGTTTTGTTCCTTACATTTTTCCCAGACATTAGCAATCCTTCCCTATTAAACCATGGAAAAGTTAACAGTTAATTCAACTTTCTAGCAACCTCTCTGAAAAAGATGTTAATTTGATCGTTCAGTGTAAGCTTAAGCTCATGGCCAGTTAATGCATCTTAAAGAGAACAATAGAACCTTAAATTTTGCAGGAGAATCCATCCAAGGACAGCACCATCTTTATATGAGATTCTAGCAATGCAGTCGGTCTGCACAGTGAGAACACGTACTTTAGAAACTAAGAAAGCAGGAAAAATCGTTGTCAGCCATAAATCGATTGTATGACTTGCCTTCAAATGTCACCAAAAAAAAAATATAAGAAAAAGATGTGACCCGGCACATCCAGTTTCTGCTGAACCAGTGGCAGAATATTTTTGCAAGAGTACCTTCATTATCCAATTCATACACTTAAATTTCACCCACCCCTTGCTGAACCAGTGGCATCTAGTTTTCCAGAATAAGGGGTTATCCAAATAAGGGCCATCACATGGTACAATTGGACCAGTAGCACATAAAGAGAGACATAAATAAGGATTTATAAAAGAAAAACAGCTTTTGGGTACTTCTATCTAGTCAGGTCCTCACTCCTATTAAAGCTCTTTATGCAAATTTCTATTTCCAAAATTGTGATTTTTTTTATTATGACGCTCTATCATAACTTTCCCAAGGCAAAGGAATGAAACCTCACTGACCAAATATTATGCTAATGTCTTCACCAAGATGCTGTACACAGGCTACCCCAAGTAACAAAACATTAAACAACTAAAATAGATGAGCAAAACTAGCATTCATTCTTATACCTGCCATACATTTGCCCAAACTTCACCATTTACATATTCTAGTTCATTGAGGTTATGCACTTCATGACCTTTGTACCGGATAGTTCTTTTTCCAATGACTGCATAGTGATAGAAGATTTAGATTGAGCATTATGCACATAAAATAGCTATAACACACCAGAAGAAGAAGAAGAAAGGACAAGAAATTGGGTATGATTATTAACTTTGTTCAATAGAAACCTTTAAATGTCTGAGGGTCAATCTGATACAACATTGAAGTTCCATCAGTTCCAAACAAAACTTTCCCATCAGTTGCTAGCCCCCAACCATCTTGCATCTGATGAGTAAATTTATCCAACTGCAGCCAGTAATAAAGCATGAAAATTATCACAGATCCAGACCAGCAACTGATAAAGAACCCAAAAGAAACTTGTTCAAAATCATGAGATAGAGAGAGAGAGAGAGCAGACATCAATATATTTCATGTATATTGCTTAACCCTAATAAGCCTACATAGGCTTATATAAAAGATACAAGACTAACTAAATAACACAAGGGCCCTACCAACTATATGTAATTACTTAATGACCCAACATATATAAATATATATATAAACATTCTAACACTCCCCCTTAAACTGGAGAATACATATCAAATAATCCCAACTTGGAACAGATAGTTCTTAACCGGTAATGACCCAATGCTTTGGTAAACATATCAGCTAATTGATCTTCAGACTTCACGAATGGAGTAGAGATGCTCTCACGTAATATTTTTTCTCGAATGAAGTGACAATCAACTTCAATATGTTTGGTCCTCTCATGAAACACAAGATTTGATGTAATATGAACTTCTACTTGATTATCACAGAACAATGGAGTAGGAGCTTCAACTGTAAACCCAAGTTCTTTTAGAAAATGTTGTATCCATGTCAACTCACTAGTGGTATGGGTCATTGCCCTGTACTCAGCTTTAGCACTAGATCGAACTACCACCGTTTGCTTTTTACTTCGCCATGTAACAAGATTTCCTCCTACAAATGTGCAGTAGCCTGTAGTAGATCTCCTATCTTTAGGAGAACCAGCCCAGTCGGCATCTGTAAAACCTTCCACCCTGAGATAACCATTTGATTTATATAGTAACCCAAAACCTAGAACTTGCTTGAGATATCAGATAATCCGAATAACAACAATCCAATGTGGCATTCTAGGAGCTCCCATGAAATGACTTACAACACTAACTGCATATGAAATATCAGGTCGAGTGATAGTGAGATAAATTAATATCAGGTCGAATGATAGTGAGATAAATTAATTTCCCAACAAGGCGACGAAATCTGCCCGGGTCATTAAATAAATCACCCTCATTAGACACAAGTTTTGTATTGAAATCCATAGGAGCATCTACCGCCCTTCTTGGATCTAGCAACTTCAATACCCAAGAAATACCTAAATTTACCCCAGTCTTTAGTGTGGAATCGATGTTGCAGAAACAACTTCAACTTAGCAATGCCTTCAAAATCATCACCTGTGATCACAATATCATCTGCATACACCACAAGAAAAATGAAGCCAGGTTTAGTGCGCTGGTGAAATACCGAATAATCGGTCTGACATCTGTTAAGACCAAATTTTAATGCCACCTTAGAGAATTTTCCAAACCAAGCCCGTGGAAATTGTTTCAATCCATACAGGGCCTTTTTAAGGCAACAAACAGTGTGACGATACTCCCCCTGAGCAACAAACCCAAGTGGTTGCTCCATATAAACCTCTTCTGCTAAGTCACCATGCAAAAAGGCATTTTTAACGTCTAACTGAGACAGAGGCCAATGTCGATTAGCAACAAGAGAAATCAAAACACGAATAGAAGAAATCTTATCAACTAGGGCAAATGTCTCATCATAGTCAACACCATAAGTCTGGGTATAACCTTTGGCAACAAGACGTGCTTTTAAACGCTCAACAGACCCATCTGGAAGATACTTGACAGTATATACCCAGTGACAACCAACAGGTTTAACACCTGGAGGTAATGGAACAAGATCCCACGTGCCATTCTCATGCAAAGCATCCATTTCATATTGCATTGCTTTCCTCCAGCCTGAATCAAACAAAGCAGCCTGTATAGTCTTAGGAACAAATGTAATAGACAATCGAGATGAAAAACATAAGAAGGATGGCGATAAGAAATTATAAGAGACATAATGAGCAATGGGATGATTATTGACACAAGATCGAGTACCTTTACGAAGTACAATAGGCAAGGAATCAGACACAGCGGATGGTGTTGGATCCAAAGACACTGAAGACAATGGAGAAGGCATGACAACATACGGCTTTAGTCTTCGAGTGTACACCTGTAACAGGGCAGGCGAAGGAAATCTAGGTTGAAGAGAAAGTGAGGGAAGAGGAACCGAAGGAAGAGGCAACTCAGGAGTGATATCAAGAAGTGAATCAGTATCTGAAAAATATAAGGTGGACTCACAAAAAGTTACATCCGCGCTAATACAGTACCGTTGAAAAATAGGACTATAGCAGCAATAACCTTTATGAGAACGAGAGTATCCAAGAAATACACACTTTGTGGCACGTGGGTCTAGTTTATCAAAACCAGGACCAAGATTGTGGACACAACATACACATCCAAAAACTCTAGGAGTAAGAGAGAACAAGGGAGAATCAAGAAATAAAATAGAACGTGGAGATTTGCCATCTAATACAGAGGACAACATACGGTTAATAAAATGACAGGCATTAAGAACAGCATCACCCCAAAAACGTTTAGGCATACGCATGTGAAACAAAAGAGCACAAGTTACTTCTAATAGGTGTCGATTCTTACGTTCTGCAACTCCATTTTGTTGAGGAGTATAAACACATGAATTTTGATGAATAATTCCTTTATCACTAAGAAATGTATCAAAGGGGGCTGAAGAATATTCCTTAGCATTATCAGAACGTAGAACACGAATTGGGCATCCAAACTGAGTTTTGATTTCTTTTCAAAATTTTTGAAAAATTAAAAATAACTCAGAACGATCTTTCACTAGAAACAACCAAGTCAGGCGAGAATAATCATCCACAAATGTCACAAAATAATGAAATTTATTGATTGAAAAATGTTTTGTTAGGCCCCATACATCTAAATGAACCAAATGAAAAGGACTAGAGACACGATTATTAACCCTAGACTTGAAAGACACGCGATGGTGCTTACTAAGTTGGCAAACTTCACATGACAAGAACTTCAAATGACTAAGATTAGGAACTTAACGCTACAAAACTTGACGTGACGAGTGACCAAGACGACAGTGCCACTCGAATGGAGACAGAGAAGACTGAAGAACCAAAGAAAAAGGTTCCAAATCAAAGTAATATAAGCCACTAGCTTCATGCCCCGTACCAATCTTCTTCTTCGTCTTGAGATCCTGAAACACACAAGAAGTAGGATAAAATGTAACAGAGCACTGGAGAGATTTAGTAAGCTTACTGATAGACATTAAACTAAAGGGAAACTGAGGAACAGATGAGAGAGACAAGGAATCACTAAGTCGAGTTGTCCCCAAACCTGAAACCTTAGTGGATGAACAATTAGCAAGAGTAACACTTCGAGAAGGAGGTACATAAGTAAAGTCAGATAGAAGAGAAGAACATCCAGTCATATGATCGGACGCTACTCCAGTGTCTATGATCCAAGCACTGCAAGTGGAAGACAATAGACATGTGGGTGCAGTACCTGACTGGGCAAAGGTAGCCGTGGAAGATGAATTAGATGCTTGTTGATAAGACAAAAACTGATTATACTCATCACGTGGAACAGTGATCATATCTGATTCAGCTACGTGGTGAGATCCAGAAGAAACATCATTCTGAAAGGAAACTTGATTTGCATAACTAGATGGTTTGCCATGAAGGTCCCAACAAAACTTCACAGTGTGATTAGAAATGCCACAATGAGTACATTTTCGTGATTCCCTGCCACGGCCACGTCCTCCCTGTGAATCACGACCACCATGTGTGGAGCATCCCCCACGACCTCCATGGTAAGTATTATGTTCACCCTTTGAAACTACCAATGCTGAACGCTCACCACTCTGCGCATTATTCAAATTTGAGGTGCCACTTGTAAGTGTACCGCGCTGAAGTCGAGAAAACACATCAGCAAGAGATGGAAGTGTGGGACTGCCCATAATCTATGCACGAATAGACTCATATGCTGACGACAAACCAGTAAGAAAACGGACAACATTAAAGTCCTCGCGTTGTTGTTGCATACTTCGAACATTAGAAGTAATGGGCTGATACATATTCAACTCCTCACAGACTCCCATAACTTTTGAATAATACTCTTCTATACTGTGATTACCTTGTTAAAGAATGAAGTACTGCTTACAGAGCTCATAAACACGGGTGAAATTACCTATTCCAGGATACAATTGCTTCAATCTGTCCCATATCTCCTTGGCAGCATCCAAATAAAGTAAAGTTGAACTTATTTGGGGTTCAATACTGGTTAACATCACAGAGATGATCTGAGCATCTTCCTTTTCCCATGTATCAAAAGAATCATCAGTTTCCTTTAGCTCATCTTTAGTCAGATGATTACCAAGACCTTTACCTTTGAGAAAAATTGCAACAGATTTAGCCCACAGTATGTAATTCTTCCCATTGAGTTTAACAAAAGTCATGGGAAAATTAAAACTGGATGTGGGAGAAAGCAAATCTGAACTGGACGACATGTTGAACCCACCAAACAACCTGGAAAAAGGGGCCAGATCTGATAAAACAGGCTGGATCTAGTCAACCAGGTCGGATCTGTGCTATCCCGATCTTAGTAAACCAGGGTTGGAATAGCTATCCCGGTTTAAGTAAACTAGGGTTGGAATAGCATAACCGTGTAGCCAAACACGGTTCTTCTTCTTCACAACTTCACAAACGCCGGGAAACAACACAGCGGAGGTGACGGAAACCCAGTTACAAGCAACGGCCGAATCAATAAGCAGCGACCACACTGAATCAGAACCTCTGCAACTTCCGGCCAAAAAGAACCACAAATCGATGAACCTCACCTCTGCAAATAACAACGATAGATGTCGGCGAGCTCGCTGACAACCAAAACGACAATGACGACGACAAACGAAGCTTCAGATTTGACGAAGACAAACGAAGAGCTCTTAATCCTGCCGGCAACAACGAACGAGGCAGAGACACTAACACCACAATCGCGATTCCGATCTTATACAAGAACAACACACTTATAGTTTCCCACACCCATGAATTCGTATTGCTCTGATACCATGTTCAAAATCATATGAAAGAGAGAGAGAGCAGACATCAGTATATTTCATGTATATTGCTTAACCCTAATAAGCCTACATAGGCTTATATAAAAGATACAAGACTAACTTAATAACACACCAACTATATGTAATTACATAATGACCTAACATATATATATATATATATATATAAACATTCTAACAAAACTCAATCGGGAAGAACATTCCTAGAAGAACTAAATTGTTTCTGGTCAATGGGAGGTGAAGAAGAACACATCAATCCTACAACTTTGGGAACAATGGATTATGAAAATGGATTTATATTAAGTAATTGCTAAATTAAGAAAAAAGTGAATCAAGATAGTTTAGTTGAATAGAAAACATATATGTTCCATTTACCCTAAAAGTAAGATCTAGACCTTTATAGTCCCTATTATATGCTCCATTAGATTGCAAAGAAACACATTCTAAATTCACTTGTTTTTCCGTTGCAAAAACTGTGTGACAATATCCTAACTCGACTCTCTTTCTTTTTTTTTCTCTTTTCCTTTATCATGTCCCTATTGTGTCAAATCCATACCCCGTGTCTTTGTCCACAGTCCACACCCATGCAACACAGCTTTTTGATCATATTAACTTTTCAATCTAATGCCTGAGTTCAATTTTCTGTTCACATAGTAGTGTTTTCCTCCTTTTCATGGACCACATAAATAATGATTCCCACTCATTCAATAAAAACAAAAATCTGAAATTTGAACTTGGTGCGATTCAAATCACTTTATACTAAGCAGAACAGTAGAAACCTGGAAAATTGCAGTTACAATTATCAACAGTATATTGGGCATTACTCCCTTCCAACAATTAAAGGGTTGGTCATTTGTCAACATGACACTAGACAAACAGTTGTGTTTACATCAGAAGGTGACATATGTGTCCATGTTCATAAGTTAGGGAATATGACAAGATTGAACACTTTTATCTTATAGACATTTCACCTAGGTTTTTACAACCTCCAACTTTGGATTAAATTTCAGCCACTGCAGAGGATTTAAATCAAGGAATTTGTTGATGCATGAAAATTGAATTGCTAGGGTGAATAAAGTTCAACTCTAAGCATATCAAATCCAAGAGTGAAACCAGCCCAGGTAAAATATATGGAAGCTCTAGACAGTCAAACAAAAAAGGTCAGAAAGTTCGGTAGTTTCTTCTTCAACATTCGACTCACAATATCATGAAACGAAAAAATAAAACACCCTATAAGAATTCAACCAAAAGCACACAAAGAACAAGAAACCAAAGAACACACCACAAACAACAAAAATATAAACAATGAATTATACAAAGGAAAAGGTTAAGCACAAACTTTGCTTAAATTATATCGATCATATGTGAAACCAGTTTTCTTCAACCAAGTTACTTGATACAACCTACAAAAGTACATAAGAATACTAGATCAGGACTGAGGATTCTTCTGAATAGTAACACTGTTAATGAAGATAAATGAACCAAAAATATAGTGAAATGGAGGAAAGAAAAATCTTAATTGTCTCAGTTACATGTGTTGAACAATTCCATAATAGAAGTTAGTAAGTTACACAAACACAAATACTGTTGTAGAAGTTCTTCAACTTCAGAACTCTATGGCCACTTCATTGATAGAAATAGATAGTTTTTCTACAAGTACAGAACAGAGTCAACAGACACACTCACCGTGTTTCCAAGAGGGACTTGAACCTTGCCAGGGTAACTGGGTCTAGTAATGGAGATGCTAATATCACAAACAAGATAATGGAGGTCACAAATTAACAACTACATGAAAGCAGAGGTAGCTTTAGGAGAAAATCCAGAGGAAACTCAATGTCGTTGTTGCTCTCCTTTCCTTCTAGTAATGTTCCAAAAAGGTTCTTCCTAAGATAGGAGAGCCTAGATGGTGACGAATCTGACGATACCTATAGGATAATAATTTTAGGAGAGCCTGTATATTTATAACCATGCATTCCTCAAAGTGTGCCTCCATGATCGCAGTAATATGCCTGGCAGCTTTGAGCCTTTTTGAAGTAGAAATGGCAAGCTGATTGAAGAACTAATATTGGAGGTTAGAGAGTGAATTCATGAAAAAAATAATAATAATAATAATCTGTAATTCCTATGCAATCAAACTAACTTGATGAAAAAAGCCACACGCTTATGAGTTATGAGAAATGGGATTCTTGCCATTGAACCTTAGAATTTTAGAGCAAGGTACCCCTCGGGCTAGGGTTTTATCATGATCCAAATCAAATAAGAACAAATACTGAGATCTAACAAAGAGGATAGTAAGTTTGATCTTTTTTGTGAGTGGGGATCCTACTTCAAAGCATAACATGACCAGTTGGAGCCTTGGCTGGAGATGGTAGCAAATGCAATGGTGTATCCATTAGTGAGCAGGGTTATCAGTGGGTGGGCTCAGTATGATGGTGACTAATGGTACTGACATATTGTCTATTGCAAACTAGTAATTTGCCACGATTGGTGGCATTATTACCAGCAGCGGACATTGTGGCATGGGTATGGAATAGTAAGACGCAATTATCCAGAGCTAAAAGCATTTGCAAAATGAAAGCCTAATTTTACTCTATTTTTTCAAGTTAAATTGATTTACTGGGTGCTAATACTGGTTGCTAAATCATAAGATATTGGTCAATGAATGGATGCAATAGCACTTGCTTACAACTCAGGCTGCAGGATGGTCACCAATGGTGGTTGACCCGAGTGTAAACATGAAATTTCCCTGACACGATTGTTAAAACATGGATGTCTGGGTCTGGTGATGGAAATGAATTTATCATATATAGGATAATGTAGATCCCAAAAGAACACAAAGGGTGAAAGCTGAGACCACCTTGGGGGAGAGAATAACTGTGGAGCGTGAGAGTACCTTTGAAGAATAATTGTGTTATTTCCTTTTTTGAACAAACAAAGTGGAGTACAAGAGTACAAAGTAAAGCGCTGGTATTATTTTCCATCCCAAGGTTATTATTCTCTTTCCTCGTCCTAGCACTGTTCCAAAAAGGAGAGCAAGTAATAGCTAGTGATCATGACAGGATGATGTGACTAAATGGATACACCAACTAATTTTAGGAAGTATTTCAACATGAGGAGACGCATACAGAGCATCATATATGATGAACTCATGTCCAAAGACCCATGGTGTTTCTCTTCTAAGAGAAGACAATATGAAAACTAGAGTGGGGAAAACCCCACACAAAAACCTTGACTTTTGCACCACACATTTCACTTGGCACTTCCACAATGACAAGAGACATCAGTCAAGCTAAATGCTAGTGATAAAAAAAAATTAAAACCCCAAATAACTAGCGAGAAGGAAAAGGATATGCTCAGTTTTTAGTATTGTCCTCTCTCTTTTCTATTTTTTTTCTCCATAAATCCATTCTATTAGCTAAAAACTTTACTTTATTACTTTATTTACGTATCTTTATTACCTTGTTTAAATATTATAACAAACAAATGAATTTTTTAAATTGTGGAATCAGGTAGCCTTTCAAACAGTTAATTTGTTGAAATATCATAATGATATTCTACATATCAGCCTACTATATATTAGTGTCTTGCCCATTAACCACCAGTGCATCAAGCAATAAAGGGTTTTCGTGGCTTGAGATCACCACCATGAAAATTATCTAAAATCTAAACACTGATCAAAATTAACTAGGATAAGAGGTTGCAATGAAAATGTAACTGTAAAACAGAAACTATATACTCCAATAACTAACAGGAAGCTGCATAAATTCATTGTACATATAAAACTATGATTGAATGCCATGGTAGGTAATTTTAGAGAAAGACTATGTTGCCACATCAGTAATCAATTAATATAACATGAGAAATGATTCAGATGACATTATACAATTTGTTCCAGACGAGATACCGCAAAGTTACTAAGGAAAAAAAAATTTGATTTTCTATTTATTTTGTTCTGTATCTTCAAATCCTTATTTGCTAAATCAGAAAGAATAAATGAACTGCCACGAATACATTTTCCTTACAAACCTTTCACCAAGAAGAGTTAAACCCTTTCCAAATTGAGAATCATCCATTTTTTGAAGTGCCTCAACCTGTGAAAATAAGAGGAAATAAATAGGTATATTAAAATTTATTGCATATTGCCCTAGGTCTTTTTCTAACTTTGGTTATAAAAACCAAAAGAACAGTACATTTCTGAAAAAATTACAATTATTAACTGCAGTCAAGTAAACTAATGGCAGATACAAGATGAAAGATGAGAAGATTCTGAATAAGTTAAGGTGTCCTTATAAGAGTATGAATACTAAAGATATGTACCTTCCCGGTTTGAAGAGCTACTTTACGGACTGTTGACTGGGATGACAAAAACAAAAATGTCAAGTCATGAATTGCATGGACAGATGTAAAGGAAAATTAGTAGCGCAGATATCAACAAAATACTAAATTTTAAACATTTCATATAAAATGAAAAGAAAAAAAAAATGATGGCACTGGAAATGGGGGCAATAACATCAAAAAATGGACAGAATTTATATTTAAAATTCTATAATGTTAAAATGAAATTATATCATAACTTGCAGCTAAAATATGTTAATATCATCATTATTCTTTTTCTTTTCTTTTTTTTTGATAAGTTAATATCATCATTATTCTAAAGAATGAAAAAATTGGAGAAAAATAAACAATACAACAATGATGAAAAGTAACCTGCCCGTAAAGCCCCGTTGACTCAAGTAGGGTATCGTTTCCTCCGTAAAGAAGCCCCTGAAAGCAAACAACCATCCATATTGATAATCTACAGAAGTGTACGCATGATACATGCATGGTACAATACGCTCCAACAAATTAATTGATGGAACAATCAAATAAATTTACTTTGATATTCTGTATGAAGTTCTCAATCCCATCAAAACAGAGAACTAATTTCCATTATCATGCCAATGACATATGCAAAAGGAAGAAGACAACTGTTACCGTCTGTTATTAGCAAAAACCTTTCACAGTGATTAATTTTTCCCAACTCGAAACCAGTCGTCATTATCATTTCTAATCTCCTTCAATCTTAATAAATAATTAATCATAGTCTTTATCGTGTTTCAAGTCCTCTGACAAAGTTCTTCACAATTAAATGAAGAAACTGCCTAAGTACTACTTCATGAGGAGTTCACCGATACAATCAATTTAGATAATTAACAAAAACTTCACAATTGTAGAGTAAAATAATCTCCAAACACTTCAATACCCAAACAAAAACAAAAACAAAAAAACATTTTCGAAGTTAAGCTTAATTTAACCAAAATAAATAAATAAAAAATTATAAAAAATAAAAGGAAAATAGTGTTTCTTGATTGATCCAAAAACGAAAGTTCTATATAGTGAAGTCATTAAGCATAAACAAAATTAATAAAAAATTCTAGATTTGAAACGAAGATTGGACCTGGGTGAAGGCTTTAGGGTCGTGAGGGAATTCATTGACTACTTCGATGGAGTAAAGATTGTTGGAATGGGCATTGATTCCACCTATGCTCCACATGTTCGACGATTTGCTCAACAGAACGACAATATTTATAATCAAAACGATCGAAATGAACATAGAGATCTTTTTGTAACTAAAACGAGAGGACGACGAAGAAGAGGCCATGGAAGGAAGGGGCTTAGGGTTCAATTGCTTGTTTGGTCTCTTTCGAACCGATCGGCCCGCCATGGACGACTGTGTGAGTTTGAGGAGAGATATGGAGAGAAGGGTTGGGAATGCGTATTCAGCCCCTTCATGGCTGTGAATAATGATGCCACTAAAGTGCGCCAGCCTTAGGTAGTCAACTGGGTTGTGTTTGGTAATTGGTACTTTCGCTGGGATTCGTTTGATCCAAGCATGAGTGAAATAATTAAGATAAAATAATAATACTTCCTCTCCTACGTTAGAGGACGATATTTAGAAATTGAAGTTTTTAATGAAACATGTATTTAATGTATTATCTATTTTAAAATTATCAACTTAACCCTTTTAATTTAAATATATATAATTACAAAGTTTAAAATTTTTTATAAAGATAAAAAATAATGTTGGAAATATAGATTTATTTGTTTTGACTCTTTAAAGAGGACAACTAATTTGGTACATGTAAAAAGAGAATAATAGACTACTAACATGACGAAGGAAGTAATAATTTGAAGAAAAAAAATCATATAATTAAAAATTCGAATACCATACGTCATAAACCACTATGTAAGTAATATTTTTAATTATTTTTTTCATCAATTGCATGTAAAATGATAAATAATATATATGGTATTATAGACTTTCTCCACAAGAGGCTATAAGTTCGTCCAATAAAAAAAATATACACTTCTCATTTTTTTTTTTTTATGCCAAAATGACCGATATTTAAGTCATCACTAATGAAGATGAACACTACGTAACTCAATAACAAATAAATAAATTTTTTTTAATTATTAGATTATGCTTTATAATTTCGAATTTGGTAAGTAAATATATATCTCCATCATCTCTGATTTAATAATTAAAAATAAAATATTCATTTGTTATTAATATAAGGGAACCATGATGACAAACGAGAAGATACCGGAAGTTGTGATGGAGAGGATGGTTGTTAGGATCTCATTTTTGTGTGGGGATTCCATTGGTGAATGGTGTAGCAATCTAGCAAGTGCTGCATGTTTGATTTAGTGAAGGAACAAGATATGTGTGGGATGTCAAATTGGTAGAGAACAATACTTCAGTAGCATAAAATACAACTAACTTCATACCAGTCATCTTCTCAAATTATATAAGATAATTTGATTATCAAGCATTGTTCAAGTGTTTCCATCCCCTTATTTTAAGGAACATTATTAATGATGCTGACAAACCCAAAAAAAAAAAAAAAAAAAAAAAAAAGAGAAAGCACTTCTGTGTTAACAATATAAATAAATAATTTGACCTCTAGTCATATTTTATGATTACAATAAATAGATTACGAGAGCCAACTACAAATGATATTTATTTAATAGTCTCATAACCACAATCTTACATTTTAATATAAATTTAGAATAGACTTGTGTAAAAAATAGATTTGTTTCACCACAAAACAATAAAAAACAAAAATACAAAACAATGAAAAACAAAAAAATAAAAAACTACAGTGGACCAAAAGGACACTCAAGAAAGTACTTTCCCAGTCACTTTCCTAACATAGTTGACACATTTCAGATTGAAGGTGGTATATGGTTACGTGAATAATAAAGGTTGTAATGCGTCCCAAATTAAGCTTTCATTCTCTATACAGAAGGTACCAATGTCACGACGCCCCAATGAGGATAGGATAGAATGCCAATATTATCATCGGTGTAGTATATGGAATTCGGTTGGCATTTGGACTATTTGGGAGCTGAAACACAAATTGAATGGTTATTTTCCAAAAATAGAGTGTCTCTGTCCAAGTTCTTCAAGTTATTCCCTTTGAGCTACATGGGCGAACCCTACTCAAATTGCTCTAAGAGCAACTTGAAAACCTCAAACCCTGATGTTGCATGTTATGAATCATCTCCGAATTCGTAAGACCTTTGTACAAAAAATAAATCCCCACTAGATAATTCAACAAGATATGTCAGATCACAATACACATGTAATACCGGTATTTTATTTATTTATTTATTTATTTATCTAGTTGACTTTTTAAGGTATACTAAAGATAATAGGTTTTTTTTTATTTTATAAAAGTTGATTTTTTTTTTAATGGGATCCTAAATTATCTCACCTACCAGTTATTGTTACCATTTATAAGTTTATCTTGCTCTGTATATCATATTACATTATTTTATAAATCGGAAGGGAGATAAAGATAATAGGGTTATACAGAGTGAGTGAGATCTGACGTCGCGTACCTGCCTACAGTTTCTGGAAAGAGAGTCAGTGATCGAAGATTCGTATAGTAGAAGGGATTAGCGTTTTCAGGCAAGTTAATCTTGTTTTATACTTCTATATATATTTGTAACTTGTTCATTAAGAATCCAATTTGTATGTTTTAATAATAATAGTAAAATTGATGATGATTATTATTATAATGGGTCAAGTGTACAAAACACCCCTATAGTATACTTATAGTGCATATCGCACCCCTTACGTGCAAAAAACACCTCTAAAGTTTCAATTTTGTGCAAATTAGTCCATCTGACACATTTAAATTATACTTTGACTAATTTTCCCTTAGTGAACTATTTTATAAAATATACAAAAATATATCATTTTGTGAAATGACCAAAATGGGTACACTTCAACATTTCTGTGTAGCTGCGTTTTTTTGCCCATCTCACAAAGGATTGATGATGACGAACAAGAGAACAAAACCCATGAACGCAGCGACGAAAACAGAGACCAGAAAGAGACTTCAGAAATCAAGAGGATGGTGTCAACCAGATGTTTTGGGCTTGGATCCGGCAGGTGGTGGAATCTGTCGGTGCGTGAGAGCATATTGGTGAATCATTGGAGAGACGAGTCACATGGTGGTGACTTAGCCAGGTGAGACCTAGTTTGTCAATGAAGATGCCATTGGATTGCAGTGGTACCGATGATTTAGAGGTTGTTGAGAACCGATGGAACTTGTATTGTTTTTACAGAGTCGTCGGCGGTGACTTAACCGGGTCGCCGTTTCTGGAATCATCACATAATCGATGGAAGTGGAGGTCGCCGGTGGCAGAGATCGACAGTGGCACAGTGAGCACCTTGAATCGCATTTGAGTGGCGTTTATGTGCGTCGACAGTGACCCGTCAGCGGTGATGTAGCAGAGCCGTAGTGGGTACTGATAGAGAACACGATGGCGAACTAACCCAGTAGGCCAACTCGGCCACTCGTGAGACCCAATCCAGTGGCAGAGACGACCCGTTTACTCATCAGAGTGAGTTCTTATCCTCTCTTTACCGTCGCCTCGCTGACCCGTAACTCACGAAGAACGTCTACCCAGCCATCATCCTTTTCATCACTCCACCGACAAGCACTGTTGTGATACCCCTCGATTCTAAAGCCACGGGTGATCAAGTCCGAGCACAGAATACAAGGGATACCAAACAATTAATATTTAAACAAGCATTTGAATACAAAAAGAATAATAAAGAATTAAATAAATAATCAGCTGAAGGAAACTAAATAATAAATCCTTATTTTAAAATCCTCAAATAAAAATAATTAAAAATCCCATACTAAAATCCTCCAATCCTCTGATACCAGTAATTAATTAAAACTACAACTCGGGAATCCATATTGTGGACCCCTAATAATATCCTAACTGAAATAACTGAACTGAAATAAAATTAATAATTAAACCATGAAGAAGAGTCCTACGTAGAGTCGGAAGAGTGAATGACTGTCTCTGTTCAGCATGAACAATCTCTAAGAATGGAACTGACGAACACCTGAAAAATAATGGTGGGTCAGACCCACATACAAGTTCTAAATCTACTACATCCCAAACAGAGACCCAATACACGTACACATCCTAATTAATTCAACAATAACTAAATAATCTATATATAGATATACACACACTAAAGGAACCTCACTAGACTATAGAGTTGTCTTAACCTGAATAGTAGGCAACATGCAAAACGCACATATAGTGGACATGAGTACCTAGACCTACCAGGGTACACAACTACACTATATCTAGCTACACATCCCTGGCAATATATACACCCTAACCACTGATCTTGGGACTTAAGCTCATATCATGGCGTATAATTATATATGTAAAATCCGTCCTATCCAATCATCAAAATAAACTATCCAATTATTATTTTAATAATATGTCATCCAACTGTTCCCTTGACCTGACACGAATAAGTAGGACTTAACACTGTAGTTAATCCGTTCCCTTATTAAAAATAGGTAGGACTTAACTCTTACGTTAATCCATCCCTACTATTTCTCAATCCCAATGGTGCATTAATCCATATCATAATCAAATAAAAGTTTCCAATCCAAAGATAATGTAAATTTTTACATCAAATAATCCAAATAATCATGATATAAATCATATACACATACTTTACATTTACTTGAGCAAACAAATATCAATTTTTAAGTAACATGCATTTAATTTACATCATAAAACTAACATGCATCTCAAATACTTGAATTACTCCACAATCTGATTAAATTTATTTAAATTCAAATAAATATTGTAAATAATGTAACCCAATCCTATTTAATTAATTTAATCTTTTAAATTACTTTTCCTATTTGTTAATATTTACAAACTGATGCAAACTGATCTTAACCATATCAAGAGAAAAACCCAAAACGAATATTTCATTTACTATTAACAACTGATGCAACCTTTGACTTTTGTTTTTTTTTCTTCCTCGTTCGGCATGCCCATGTGTTCTCACATAAACACTAAACTGATCCAAATAATATCAAGGAAAAAAACAAAACAAAGTTTCAATTAATGCTAACAACAGAATACATGTATATAGGAAATTCTCGATCAGCGCGCATGGAAAGAAACACACACCAATTTCGTATATGCATGTAACTGGTTCATAGTAATTTGATTCATGCTCCTCGTTCCGCATGTATGTCTTATGAAACAAATAATACTAATAAGAAAATAATGGAAATTTCAATTAGCAATTGCAATCAACAAACTGATACTAAACTATGTGGCGTGCATGTATTTTTCCCCTTCCTCATTCGACGTGTAACACTTTATAATTAAAGTGTATTTCAATTACATGTAACAATTGGATCAAGCTTTTTTTAAAAAAATCATGCTACAAAAAAAAAAAAAAAAAACAAACAGACCAAGCCACCAAACAAACACATTAAAACATATTAAAATTTAATTTATCAAAATATGACAATTCATCA